CTCAACCTCTCAAGTAGCTAGGACTACATGATTATGTTACCAAGGCTAGCTCAGGAAATCTGAAACTAAAATGCTTGAGAAGCCCTGGCACAACTGAGCTACAATGTACCATTGTGAGCTGCCCAGCTAGCTTGCCCAAGGGACGCTATAGTATCAACATGTTCCATAGATCTACTGGTCGGAACCCCTCACTGGATGCTCTTCATATTAGCTATATCAACAACTGGCTTCTATTAGTTCACAGGGCCAGTTCTGGAAGGGCCTTTTTCTGGCCTACAGAGGACAGCTCACACTGAAAAGAAGCTCCACGATACTGGCATCCTTCCCACCAGACATTCCTTGTTGCTTTGATACCTAAGTATTGTCTGAGTCTTCTTGCCAAACTTAAATAGGCTCCTAGCCATACATAGAATACCACTGTGGCACCCCACTCTCAGTTTTTTGAGACCTTCTTTCATGGCAGTTCTGGCATTCCATTTTACTCTGGTGTTTCTCCAATCTCCCAAGGTCTTTGTCAGGGTATAAAATCCTGCCTCATAGGACAGTGCTTCCATAACAATAGACTCCCTGATTCAATACTGTGTTCAGTCCTTTCCACACCCCACTAACCTATACCTCTGGCTCCTGCCAATACGTGTTGATTTCACTCCTCGTATTGGTTTTGTAGATGGGGAGACAGGCAACTTCCTTTGGTGTTGGAGAATATTATTTTAAGATGTGTTACATTTGTTTATGCTTTGGAACATTTGTTTATGCTTTGGGACAATGATGCAAAGATGTGTTGCATTCTTTTATGTTGCATTTGTTTAATTCTGTGAAGCTGTGTTACTCTGCCTGTCTAAAACACCTGAAGGTTTAATAAAGAGCTGAATGGCCAATAGCAAGGCAGGAGAAAGGATAGGTGGGGCTGGCAGGCAGGAAGAATAAATAGAAGGAGAAACCAGGAAGAAAAAAGAAGAAAGAGCAAGAAAACAAGGAGAGGAGGATGTTAGGGACCAGCCAGCCAGCCAGCCAGCCAGCCACAGAGTAAGAGTGAAAGTAAGATTACAGAAGCAAGAAAAGGAAAAAGCCCAAAGACAAAAGGTAGATGGGATAGTTTAAAGTTAAGAAAAGCTGGCTAAAAACAAGCCAAGCTTAGGCCAGGCATTTATAATTAAGAATAAGCCTCCATGTGTGATTTATTTGGCAGCTGGGTGGTGGGCCCCCCAAAGAGCCAAAAGAGCAAAGAGCAAAACCAAACAGGACTTTGGTGCCTGCCTAGGTACAGTTCCCAAAGACAGCAGCAGCAGGGAGTCATCCATAGCCAATAAGCCAGCAGCTGGAGGAATGAGTTTGTCTGTCCCATGGAAAACCTGGCTGGTACCTCACAGATGCCACTACAGAGACAAGCGTTGGCTGTGCTACCAAGCAGAGAAGAGCAGGCATCGAGCACCCAAGCCCTGGAGTCAGGAAGACTTAGGTTTGAACTGAATTCTGGTTATGTGACCTTGGGTAAGTGCCTTAACCCTCTTGAAGCAGTTTCTTCTACAAAATAACTGCCGATAAACTGTGAATACTTATGACTCTCGACATAGTGCCTGTCACATCCAAGGCCACAGTTCCGGCTGCTGCTTGGATTGCTTCGAACTTCTCCAGAGGCTGACGGGGCTTCTTCAGGGGGCTGAGACAGTCATTTAGCTGATGCTGCAGCGTGCTCCACAGGGATGTTGTACAAGAGGCTCTAGGGTGATTGAGGATATTCACCAAAGATGGCCTTTCGGGTCCTTTCTGTCCCCAGCTTGCCTTGATTCTTGAGTTCCTTCCTGCCTACCCTTGGTGGGGGAGAGGCACTTAGAAAAGCATATTCACTTTCAGGCCACTAGGGGGCCATTTAGTTGCTGGCAACAGGAATACACTAATGGTTTCTTAATGGCTCAGGCACCAGGGAGATCGGGCTCAATTATATCTGAAAGCATTTTGAGTTCCAGGGGTAAAAAGACACTATGTAAATCCAGATAATAAATAGTGCTTATTGACGACAGGTTAAAGAATCTGGCACCGTTTCATTTGGGGAAGAATAGGGAGAGGAATTGAATAAAGGCTTCGAGTACATCATTGTTTAGAATAAAAAAAAAGAGTGACATGTTGTTTTCCTACTCTGCTGGGAAGCAAGCAAGAAAAGGGAAGTGAAATTTGCAACAGAAATATAGAGAAGCAATATAGAATGCACTCCAGGAATGGAATCAAAGGGTCTTAGAGCATAATTCACCTTGGGATGGTGGTATGATCAATGCTGCCAGGAGGGCCAGAGAACAACAGGGAAAGAGAAACAACATTTGATGGCAATTCATAGACGTTAACCCTATAGGCCACCTTCAAGACCAGCTCTGGC